GAATTTCTCAGGGCCTTCATTTAGAATAGCCCCCAACCAGGAACAACAGTGAATGGACAAACAAAACTGAGATTTATTTATACAACAGAAGATGACCCAAAAGAACGACCTACTGGTTCATGAAAAGATGAACCTTAAAAACACTAAGCTGAGTGAAAATTCAGATATAGAGGAGCACACACTTAATGCTTCTATTTATACAAAGTTCTAGAAATGGCAATACTAATTGATGGTGACAGAAATTAGATTAGACTGGTGGTTGTCTGGGATGAGGTGGGGAGATGGGCAGCAAAGGGGCATCAGGGAAGTTTCTGAGATGATGGAAATGTTCATTCAGTCATGGTTAGATTGGGCATGCATCCATCAAAATGCGTCGAACTGTAAGCTTAATATGTGTGCATATTTTCTCTCAATAAAATTAATAAAATGATGACTTAAAAACCCAGTCTAACAAATATGTGAAAGACCTATTCCTTTTTTTTTTTGAAAGACCTATTCCTAAAGAAATATAAATGTTACATTGAATGAAAGATAACAAAGCAGCCCTAGCTAAATGAAGAGTTAGGTCATACTCATAGATGGGAAACTTTATTATCACAAAGATATTAATTCTCCTAAAACTGATTTACAGGGTCAATGCAACTACAATGAAATCCTAAATAAGATCTTACCTAAGTCTTAACAAGTTGATGCTAAAATTTATGGTGAAGAATAACAATCAAGAATAGTCAGAGCATTATAAAAAGAATAAATGGGATAAGAAAGAATGAATATTTGCCCTTTCAGAGATAATTATAAAGCTATTAACTGAGTGTAGTAGCCACAAAAGGATAGAAAAATTGGCCCAAAGAACTAGAGAGCCTTTAAATTGGCATATATTATATATATGGAATGTGGCATATATAGTATATACATATTAGATATGCTTTATGTATAATATTTTTATTATAATATATAATACAACATGCATTATATAAAAACATATTATGCATATATTACGTATTTATATGTTATACGTAAAATACATCATACAAGTCAATTATATATATACAAATATATATCAATTATTGTGTATATATTATATGAATATATTAAATATGTTAACTATATATATAAATATAATATATAACCGGGTGCTTGGGTGGCTCAGTCAGTCGAGCACCTAACTCTTGATCTCGGCTCAGGTCTTGATCTCAGAGTCATGAGTTCAAGCCCTGTGTTGGGTTCCACAATGGGTGTGGAGCCTACTTAAAAAAAAAAAAAACAACTAAAGTTACATGTAGTATACAAAGTTATATATATACTTTTTACGTCTGTATCTTTGATATGCAACAATGATATTGCAGATCTGTAGTAAAGGAGGGATCATGCATTGGTTACCCACATGGGAAAAAAATGGAACTGGATTCCACCTTCTATTATACACAAAATCAATTCCAAGTAAATTCAAATTATGTCAAATGCAAAACTTTAAAATTCTTAGAAGAAAAAAACTGGTGAATGTCTTTCTGACCTTGGTATAAGGAAGGATTTTTTTAAAAGATTTTTTTAACTTATTCATTTGAGAGAGAGAGCAAGCGAACAAGAGCATGAGCAGAGGGGCGGATCAGAGGGAGAGGGAGAAGACTCGCCACCCAGTAGGGTACCTGATGTAGGGCTCCATCCCAGGACCCTTGGATCAAGACCTGAGCTGAAGGTGGACACTCAACTGACTGAGCCACCCAGGTGCCCCAATGAAGGATTTTTATGCAAGGCGCACCGAATGCTTAACGTGAAGGAAAAGGTGGGTAAATTAGGCATTAAAATTAAGAATTTTTATTTATCAATTATACACAAAGTGAAAAGACAAGAGGCCATAAACTTGAAGGTGATATTCGTATTATGTGTAAGTGACAAAGTGTAATATCTAGAAGTAGAAATTTATATAGAAATATAAAACCACTTAGAATCTAACAAAAATAAGGCAAACAACCCAACAGAAACAATGGGCAAAAGAAAAGGAAATCCAGACAGATAATACATACTTAAAGAGATATTCAGCCTCGATGGGAATCCTGCAAATGCAAAGCAAAACCAAAAAGGAGACTGATGATATCATTTCATTGGTGAAAATTAAGATGCGTCAGAAAAGACATGAATCTGGAATCTGATCAAAGTGTAAATTGTTGTTACAACAGCTTTGGCAAATAATTTTTGTCTTGTAATATTGAACATTTGATTCAGAAATTCCAGTCCTAGATGCGTGACACAGAGAAATCCTCACCTACGTCCATCAGAGGACATTTAGAAAAATGTCCATAGCACCAACTTTGTAAGAGAAAACAAAACAAAACAACAATAGAGTCACATAAAGTGTTGTGCATTCATTTAATAGGGTGCTATGAATCCTAGCGGAGGCCTCCTGGTTTCATTTTATGTATATATATAATGAAATATATATAATATTATATATAATATTATTAATAATATATATTATTATATATATATATATAAAGCGAGTCCCTTTGCTAAAGGATATCCCTTAAAAAAACAAAAAACAAACCCCAGCTAAACAAGGAAAATTGAAAAAAAATTTTTTCGGGTATATGCACGGATGTGATAATACTAGAAGCAAGCCAGGGAATAATGATACAAATTCAAGGAAGTGGCCACCCCTAGAGCGAGAAAGAACGGGGGACAGGCTAGGGAGGGAGTGTGCAGGCACATGGAAATTACTAGTAACGTTTGGTTCTTTTTTTGCTTGTAAGTGGACTTGTGGGTATTTCATTTTCATTATATTATTAAATACATAAAAAAATCAATATACTATTTATAAGAAATGAAACCTCAACAGAAGGCCTAGAAAGACAGAACAGGAAAATCTAGACAGGAAATCTAAAAAAAAAAAAAAAAAAAAAAAAAAAATCTAAAAAAACCCAAAAAACCAAAAAACCAAAAAAACCAGTAAATCTCACCTAAAACATAAGGCCGTGAATTCAAAGTGGAAGAGCGTGTTAAGGTGAGCGGTGAGGGCGTCAGCGTGCATCGAACATAGTGGGGGTGAGAAATTCTTCACGAGACTTATTTCCGCTTATGTGCATGGATATGTATGTAGGTACTGATTTGCGATATAAAATATATTTCCTATTTTGAGTTGTGGTTAAAAATTGGTTTGACAAAAAAAAAAATTGGTTTGACAGCCAGTATCCCAAACAACCTCTTGTCAAAGCATAGCGGCAGATACGTACCTAAGCGTCCATACCAGCGTTATTAGAACAAAGACAAAAGGACACGCGCGTATACTCCTAGGAGAACGGAGAAACAATCGCACGCTAGGGTACTTACTACGCAGCAGTGAAACAAAAGTAAAGTTACATGCATCGAAATTCTCACAAATAGCATGTTGGGGAGGGAAAAGCAAGTCACAAAAACAGTCTAACTCTATTTTTTTTTAAAGATTTTATTTATTTATCCATGAAAGACACAGAGGGAGGCAGAGACACAGGCAGAGGGAGCAGCAGGGTCCACGTGGGGAGCCCGACGTGGGACTCGATCCCGGGACCCCGGGATCATGCCCTGATGCTCAGCCACTGGGCCACCCAGGGACCCGTAATTTTGTTTCTATAAAGCTTAAAGTTAGACAAAACTGAATGATTGCTTAGGGATTCACGCGCACATGATAATAAAGAAAAGCTGAGAAATTCTTAATACAGAAACCCGGGATAGTGGCTACTTTGGAGACTGGATGGGGTCAGGGACAGAGATGCTGTGACCAGGAAGGGGTCCACGCGGGGCTTGGAAGGTACAGGTGGGCACACAAGGATTTGGTTTATTACTGCTGCCGTTTCAATCGTTAACTGTTTGTTACGTATACTCTTTTGCATGGATGAGAAGTTTATAAAACAAAAGGAAAACGCTGCTCAGCTTGTGCTCCTGGTCCCTGGTTACTCCTTCAGCTCAGAGGATCATCCTACCCGGAGTTCCCTGCCTAGTCTTGGAACTGCAGCCCCTCCCCTCCTAGGGTCTCTCTCCCTCCTGTCTATCCTCCCACTGCTACCGGACAGGCCTTCCTTTCTTTTTTTTTTTTTTTTAAGATTTTATTTATTTATTAATGAGAGACACACAGAGAGAGGCTGAGACACAGGCAGAGGGAGAAGCAGGCTCCATGCAGGGAGCCCGACGTGGGACTTGATCCTGGGACCCCAGGATCACGCCCTGGGCTGAAGGCGGCGCTACACCGCTGAGCCACCCAGGAGCCCCCAGACAGGCCTTCCTAATTGCACACCAAGGTGGTCGTCTGCTCACGCACCTTTTGGGGCTCCCCCCATTTCTCACTCCATATGCCCAAACTCCTTGGCTCTGCATGTTCCCCCCACCTGAAGGACCCTTCCCTCCCTCTTCTCCTCCTTCCTTTAGGTCCATTCCAGCCCAGGGACCTCCACAGTCCCACTCGGGTTGACAGAAAGACCCCTTCTGGCCACTGTCAGAACTCTGCAATTATAACAGGGTGAGGTCACAAAGCCCCCAGAAAGGAGGGGCTCCGTCCTCAGAGGCGAGGGTTCTGGGAGCCACTTGGGCTGGAGCTGGGCTTAGGGAGGAGAGTGCAGCTCATCATCATGGTGAGACTTGTCCCTGGGCGCACTGGGTCACATGGGACAGGGGGGTCCCAGACTCTGCCCAGATCTGCTGGACGCAGCCAGGCCCAAGCTCGTGGGCCGGGTCTGCAGCTCTGGGGCACGGGCGCAGGCAGGGCCGGGCTGGGGGCAGGGGCAGGGGCAGGGGCAGGGGTGGGTGGGGCGATGCCTGGCTGTTCATACCCCTCTCCCCCGCCCCGCTGCCCTGGAAAGCATCCCGCATGGCGCTGGTGTGAACGGTTCTCGTCCTCTGGGTTAAGGAGCGTGAGTGACTGTACATTCCTCGGGGTGGAGAGCAAAGAGGTGGAGAGCCAGGAGGGCTTAAGGGGCAGCCTAGCTCAGCTGTCGCCCGGCAGGGTCACTCATATCCCCCCCCGGGGTCCCTACCTCCTCGCATGGTAGAGGTCGTGAGCCATGCCCAAGGCGAGCTAATGGAGACGGTGACAGCCACCTGGCCTACCGCACAGGGGGGTTGAGCCCCCGTGACGCGCTGGAGGCCAAAGACCTCGAAGGGTATGAGGCCCCGTGTGTAGGTACGGAGCCTGCGCTATTTACCAGGGGGTCTGCGGAGACGGGGCGCACGAAGGGAAAGGCCCCCTGGTTCTGTCCCTCGAAGACAGCACTCCCCATAGTGGCCTTGGCTTTGGGGAAGGAGCTGGAATCGGAATCCCTGACACTGATGAACAGCATTCATCAAATTAAGGAAGTTTCTTCAAATTCTTAGATTCTTTTAAAAAATATTTTATTTAAAAAATATTTTATTTATTTATTTATTTATTTATTTTAAATGTTTATTTATTTATGATAGTCACACACACACAGAGAGAGGGAGAGAGAGAGGAGAGAGAGAGGCAGAGACATAGGCAGAGGGAGAAGCAGGCTCCATGCACCGGGAGCCTGACGTGGGATTCGATCCCGGGTCTCCAGGATCGCGCCCTGGGCCAAAGGCAGGCGCTAAACCGCTGCGCCACCCAGGGATCCCAAAATATTTTATTTATTTATTCATGAGAGACACACCCACACAGAGAAGCAGAGGCACAGCAGAGGGAGAAGCAGGCTCCATGCAGGGAGCTGGACGTGGGGCTCGATCCCGGGACTCCAGGATCACACCCTGGGCCAAACCGCTGAGCCACCCAGGGATCCCAACAATATTTTATTTATTTATTTGAGAAAGAGAGAGAGAGAGAGAGAGAGAGAGAGAGAGAGAGAGAGCACAAGCAGGGGGATGGGCAGAGGCAGAGGGAGAAGCAGGGAGCCCGATGTGGGCTCCATCCCAGGACCCCGGGATCACGACCTGAGCTGAAGGCAGACACTTAACCAACTGGACCACCCAGGCGCCCATATTCTTAGATTTTTTAAAAGTATTTTTCAAAATTTCTTTTTTTTAAAATTTTTATTTATTTATTTATTTATTTATTTATTTATTTATTTATTTATGATAGTCACAGAGAGAGAGAGGCAGAGACACAGGCAGAGGGAGAAGCAGGCTCCACGCATCGGGAGCCCGATGTGGGACTCGATCCAGGGTCTCCAGGATCGCACCCTGGGCCAAAGGCAGGCGCCAAACCGCTGCGCCACCCAGGGATCCCTAAAAGTATTTTTCAAATTAGGAATCAGTGCTGGGGTTTTACAAAATGGCTTTTGTGTTAATTGAGGTGATCGCCTGCACTGAATGACCGTAACTGATTTCCTGAAGTTTCGCTACCCCAACGCCTGGGATGAACCCTATGCAATCCCAAGCCCACAGCCTCAACAGATTATCAGCCTGCCTCCTTCCTCGTGCCCTCTGCTGCCATCCCCTTCGGCCTCTCCAGACCCAACAGTGCCCACCAGGGTGCCCGCCAAGCGCATTGTATTCTCTCGACAACCCTTGGCGATAGAAGAGATTATCACCCCCATTTCACAGATGGAGAAACAGAGGCCCAGAGCAGTTAGATGATCTGTCCAAGACGGAGGGTGGACGGGTTGGCACTGGGGCTGTCTTGCTGGCCTCAGCTGAGTGTCCCTGTGGGCTCTCCCCGCCTCCCCGGTCCCCCACTGTGCCCCCCACAGTGCGAGGAGGTGCAGGCGACCGTGCAGAAACACATGCACAGCCCGAGGCACAGCAAGGAGGAGCTCAACAGGCTTAACCAGGCCATCCAGCGGCTGACTGCGGAGGTGGACGGCGTTAAGAGTCAGGTGAGGGGTGGCTGGGGGGGGGGTGCCCCAGGGTGACGAATGGCGGGAGGGTGTCCATTATCTCCGACAAGCCGACTGCTCATCCTCATCCTCCGGAACACATGGGCAGAGTTTCTCCCCGTGTCTGAGCACACGCAAGTGTGGCTGTAAGCGTGCGCCCCGCCGCATCGGCCCAGGGCGCTCTGCCTTTCGTGTGGGCAAGTGTTAACACGCAGGTGAAATACGTCCACACACGGAGGCTTGCACGCATTTCATCTTTTGTGTGTGTGCACATTTTTGTATCCGTGTGTATTTTTCAGAAATTGCACAAGAGTTTGCCTGGCCGTCCGGCTTTCTGGGTTCTCTTTAAAAATGTGCAGGTTTGGCGACATTTGGCTGGAGAAGAGAGAGGCCTCTGTCTTCTCTGTCGCCTTCACACGGGGTCACGCTCCCTCTGTGGGCCACAGACACCCCCCGGCTCCCCGCTCCCCGCCCCAGGTTGCATCCTTCGACACAGAGGCAGAGGGCCCTTCGCTGTTTCTCATCTTCTTGGCTGGCATGTGGAAGACGAAAGGCACCTGTCCCACGGCTCTAAATTAGAGAAATGAGACGCTGAGAACATGCGGGAGGTCCTGGTGATTGCAGGACAGTGAGAGTGCGGAACTGGGTACTACTGCTCTAGAGCTAACATGTGGCCTTGACGTTTTGATGCCTCCAGCCAGGCCTCTGTAGGCATTTGGGTTTGCAGCTCACGCTCTAGGACTTGGGGAGCAGAGGTGCCCACATGAATGCTTTCTTTCTTCCACGTCTCTGCCTCTGAGCTGCCTCTCTTTCCTCCCAGCCACCCTGTCAAGCCCCCCCGCCCCGCCCCAGCCCATGGGGCTCCCTGCAGAGGGAAGGGGTCTGCTCCCTGCAGATGCAGGTGCCCCAGGCCCGGAGGGGTTCTCCTGTCTCCAGGAACTGATGACCATGAGGAGAGGGGCAAGCTGTCCGGGTTCCAGGGGGTGGCACAGCGAATGGGTGGGCCTGTCACGGTTCAGTCTCCCACCAGCCTCAGCTGTTCTGACTCCCACCCCTCCCACCCCGTTTCCTAAGCACCGAGCACACCTCGCAGGGCAAGCGTTTATCATTGCTGTATTTCCCCAGAGACTACAGGTGCTGGTTTCTTGTGAGGAAAGGATATGCCTCCTGCTAGTTTCCCTTTATGGAGCAATAATCCCAGCATTTGATGCTTCCCGGATCCTAGCTCCTGGTAGAAGACTCGCATTCTAGATGTGAAAGGCTCTGTCTCAGCCAGCCCAGGTGGCTGGCCCCTAGTGTCCACCCTGGGAGCCGGGCCGACACACAGCCGCGTTTTTCGGAACAGGCAGGCCCATTCCTTACAATGATCTCGAATCCTTCATTGGTCCTCCAGCCTCTCAGAAAGGTCTGGATCCTTATGGCGGGGGGAGGGTGGCAGCCAAGGATGTCCTGTCTGTGGTCTTCCCTTTGCCCCCAGCCCTGTGAACTGGACAGAGCCACAGAACCACCAGCTCTGCGGGAGGAGGGAGCCTCAGACAGTGCCCAGGGCAAGCTGGCCTGGCTGGAGGCCGCCCTGCAGCGAGCCAAGCACGACATGGCCTGCCAGCTGCGCGAGTACCAGGACCTCATGATCATCAAGCTGGGCCTGGACTTTGAGATCGCCACCTACCGCAAGCTGCTGGAGAGCGAGGAGAGCAGGTGAGGGCTGGGCGGTGCCTCGGATGTGGCCGGGATGAGGTGTGCTGGGGTGTGGAGGTCACTGGCTGGGTCCTCACCAGCTGGGGAGGGGTGGGGAGAGCTGACCTGGGTATGCAGCGACTTGTTCTCCTGGAGCCCCCCCCCCCCCACTTAAGGCCCTTTAGACAAAAATTCCAGCTAATGAGCACCCTTGGCACCTGGCAGGGGACTACTCGTGAGGTCATTCCCCCGCAGGGTCAGAGAGCTGGGGCCAGTCTGTCCATTGAGCCCAACCGGGGGGCAGAAGGTCCCTAGTGTGCAGTGCCTTGTCCTCAGTTCAGCCTTCTCCCCCCAGGCCTGGGGAAAGCAGGGTTTATTGGAACAGGTAGGGCCTGGCTTTTAACCTTAGACAGCAGAGACCCAAGGGCTGAAAGCTCCAGCTGGGCACCCCAGGCCGAGGGGAAGGAAGGGGAACCCGCCACGCTTATTCTCTCCTTTCAACCCCACAAAACTCCTGGGAGCTAGGGGGCATCATCCCCATTTTATAGCCGGGAAAACTGAGTCTTGGGGGTATACCTCAAGGACGCACAGGTCCAAAGTGACGGGGTGAGGCTTGATCAGTCCTCTTCATAGAGTTGAGCTATCTCCTCTGTGGTGTCCTTTAAAATGCCCCCTTCGTGGTTTCCCCTTTTAGGCTAAGTTTGGGCCGAAGAAAGCATAGATCTTCAGCTTTCCCTCTCTTCCAGGAAGTCATCAGTAAAACTGAGCTGTCTGAATTTAAGCAGGAAGGACTGAGTTTAAGGTCCCGAAGGATCTGATGCAAAAGGGGACCCAGGAGCGGGCGGGGTGGACAGATCTCTGCCTGTGGTCAGCGAGAGTCAGTTGGGAGGGTTTTGTTTTGGGGAATGAGGATTATTATGCCCAGGAGGTATGTGAACTCACCGCTTCCTCCTTCTCCCCGCAGGCTGGGTCTGGGACTCGGGACAGGGAGCCTCGGTGAGTAGATAATAGACTTAGCTTGGGTTGGAGGGATCCGGTCTCACCCCCTCTCCTTTGTGTGTGTTCTTTTGGGACGGGAAGGGGTCTGCTTCCTCTGTGTGTCTCCTTTTTGGGGGGTTTCATCTCGTGGGGGTGATTCTCCGTGTGAGTTGGGGGAGGAGGCCGTGCGGTCTGTTGTTCGGGGGCAGGTTCCGTTGGTTTGTCCCGGGGTGTCGGGGGAGGTTCTGCGGGTCTGTCCTTGTGGGAGAGACTTTCATTCTGCCCTGGGGAGGCTCTGTGCCCCCGACTTCGGGGAGGGGGTGTTCCTGAGTGTGTTTCTCGGGGAAGGGGCCTGCGCATCATGACCTGGGGGAGTTTGCACCTCCGTCTCCAGGGGCGGGGGTGGGGGAGGCAGGCCTGGGCATCAGGAGTGTGTCTGTCTGTCTTGCCTCCCCCCCAGCCGCTCTGGGCTCAGCCCCCCGCAGCCCGGCCCGCCTGCTGCCCCCCGGAGGAGCGGGCCCCGGCGGCCTGGAGAGGAGCACCCCTGGCGGTGGCTGCGGATGCTGAACCTTCCTGCGCAGCTCCCCAGAAGTCCAGGACCCTAAACTCCTGCCCCAAAGCTGAACCCTGTGCCCCAGATACCCCTCCCGTGGCGCTGATCCTCACCTTGTCTTTCCCCCTTGCACCCCCCACCCCTGCCCCACCCTGGAACGTCAAGTCTTGGAATCGAGCTTACCAGGGACCGTGACTGCCCTGTCCCCTGGGGGAAGGTAGCTGGGCTACCTTGGGGGACGCTGTGCCACTGGGGAGGCCCTGTACCCTGCTCCTGTCACCTGCCCCCCGCTCCTCTTTCCCTGGGACTCCTCCTCCTTTGCAATAAAAAGTTCTTCAGTGGCCGGAGCCCGGCGGGGCTGTGTGAGCTTGGATTCCTCAAGCGGTGCCCGGAGCACAGGGAGGGCTGATGGGGCTTGGGGCAAGGGGGACAAGGAGGGGACACTACCAGGAATCAGCCCTTGCCCTGTGCTGTGTGGGTCCACCTGACTCCAGTTGGTGATGATGCTACAGAACGAGGATCCCAAGGGTTTCGGTGTGGGGGTGGGTGACCGAGGGCCCCTGGGGAAGGTGAGAGGAGGGGTCCGTTCCTCCCCAGATCTGCTTGTTCCCCAGCCTGGGGCCGGGCAGCCCCGTGTCTGGCAGAGCTGCTGAGCGCTGGCTTCATTCACCCACACGCCGGCTCCACAGACAGTGCGAGGGGCAGGTGCAGGGCTGAGCGAGCAGGGCACTCTGGTTCTGGTGGGGATGCGGCCAAAACGGGGAAAGCAGCCCCAAAGAGAGTGGAGTGGGGTGGGGATGAGGGCGTATTGTCCTCCGCTGCCCTGGCAGGGGCGCTTGAGGACAGGCTCCGGGGGAGATGCTGCTCGCAGACCGGGGCTGGGGCGTGTGAACACAACTGGGTGGCCCAGGCCCCGGTTCTAGTGTAACAAGGTGACTAATGGGGGGATGAGAATGACATACCTTGGAGGAGGAGGAGAGTGTGTCTTTGGAATCGCATGGAGGGCTCCAGTCCTACCTCTACTTCTAGGTCTAGTTTGCTCTGAGTTTTCACGAGGCAAGTGGACTTTGTTGGGGGCGGGGGTGGGCATGGAGAAGATAGGCCAGTTTGGGGTGGGGGTGGCCAGAAAGGGCTGGGTTTCTGGGCTCTTTCTTTGCCACATAGGCCCAAGCCCAAGAGAAGCTTCCATTTGGTGAGCTCACATTCTTTTCTGTTGCACAAAGGGTTACATCATCGACACATCTGGGAACAATGGTTTCTGCTTTCCATGTCCCTGGGTGGGGTAAAGGTGCGTCATTGGCCAGAGGCCCTGGCTTTACCTTTTAAGGTACACTAGTGCCAGGGTGTCTGCTGTGTTCTTCTGGGTCCTTGCCCAGAAAACAGGTATCCAAAAGGCCCCCTTTCCTGGGTAAACAGAGCAGCCTCATGCAAGAGGAATGAGACCGAAACTTGGCTGTAAGGCTGCCGCTCGTACCTGAGGGCCAGGGGACGTGGGTCCACTGGAGCCCCATTTGGTCAAACGACCAACACCAGCCGTGTAAACATTCTTACCACACGCCCAGTGCAAAGTAACTGCCTGAAAGTGGAGCCGCCCCTCTTGGAGATTTCTCACCTGGGCTCTGCGTTCCCTGCGTTTCGCCAAGAGGTAATGACATTCTGTGATTTTCAAGGTCAGGTTTTTCCAGCTCCTGCTGTGCTGATCGTGTCAGGGGAAGGACTTAGAGGGAAATATCACCTAGGAGGTGTTGGCAGGATTTATGGTGAACATCCCGCAGCCACATCACCGAGGACTGGCTGCCCACATTTTCCCATTCCGAATCCCAAGCCTGATGTCACTCCAGGTCCCAAGGGCTGCCAAGCCAGATGAGGCTTGCGTGTCTTGTGTGGGCCACCAGCAATGTTTGCGGTTTGGGGACCGATTCCCTGAGTGGCTACAGGCCACATTCCATGCTGGGGCGGGAGAGAACTGTTTGGTGCATTTATAGAGAGTCGTTTACCAGCCTATTTAGAAGCTTTGTTAGTCGAGGTGACTTCTGAAGGGAAGCAGGTTGTCACCTGTTTAGTCATCACATCTCTGCCGAAGGGGACCACGAAGGGGACCACGGGGGTCAGCCTTCTTCTGTTGGCTCCTCATGCCCGCCTCACAATAGCACTGACGCATGACAGATGCAACTTAGTAGTGTCGGCATCTCGATGTGAGCCCCTCAAGGCCAGTGGCTGTCCCGGCCGCCCATCTCCAGGGCCTGCCCCGCAGTGCCTATGAACCCAGCGAGGCTCTGTGGTCCCGTGTGGTCCGCTCTGTCCTTGGATGCTTCGGGTCCTTCTGGACCCCTCGGGAGTCTCTTGACGAATGAGTCTAAATGCAATCCTTCCCGATGTAATTCCGACTGCAGTGTATCAGCCAGGCCAGCCTGGAGGAAGGAAGGAAGGTTCTGGATTCTGTTCTCTTGGCCAAACGTTGCCTGTTTCTGAAGCTCAGCCCTGCCCTCCCCCAATCTAACTGGTGACTATTCATTTATCCCTTTTACTTTTCCTCCCTTCTTGACCTCTCTGCATGTAGTTTACCCATCAGAGGATGCTACAGGGTTGTGTGAAATATATATGCTCTAAAGGACTTGAAAACATAGTAAGAATGACATAATGTGGGCAGCCCGGCTGGCTCAGCGGTTTAGCGCCTGCCTTCGGCCCAGGGCGTGATCCTGGAGACCCGGGATAGGGTCCCATGTTGGGCTCCCTGCAGGGAGCCTGCTGCTCCCTCTGCCTGTGTCTCTGCCCCTCTCTCTGTGTGTCTCATGAATAAATAAATAAAATCTTAAAAAAAAGAGAAAATAATGACATAATGTAATTAGTATCTTATGTCCTGGAGTCCTGAGAAGGGCTTTGAGCACTTTTAGAGAAGGTTCTGCAAGTCTAAGGCTGGCTGGTCTCCTGCTGTCCCAGCGGGAGCTAAGGGGTCTACAAGGCAGGAGGGGAGCTAGCGGAACCCACTGGCTAGAGCTGGGGCTCCCTTGGCTGGAGGCCACCTCCCTACCACTCCCACCTTAATCCAGTTCTCTACCTGGGACCTCCCCTTCCCCACCAGCACGAGTCCCACCTGTGCGCTCACACTGCAGTCCTAGCCAGCAGGTACCCGCAAAACTCCCCTCTTGAGCACGTACACGCAGGTGCACGCACACATCTAGAAGCGCTCACAGTCACGCACATACACACACGTGCTTCCACACAGATGCCCGGAGATGTGCATACACCCGGAGGCCGTCCTATTGTTGGACCCGCAGACAGTTGCCCACAGACAGTGAGCTGCGTGGGATGAAGGTGCAGACAGTACGTGCTCAGCCCAGCTGTCGGGACTCCCCACCGTCTTCTAGTCCTGTCCCATCTCTCCTGGAGACGAACAGAGCTTTAAATTGGTAAGGGGCCTCAGCAGCCATTTGCCTAAACATTTTATTCTACTAGTGCATGCACCGAGGCCCAGAGAAGGGAGGTGACTTGCAAAAGGTCACACGGGGAGGTGTTCCATTCCCACCCCCAGCCCCCAACATTCGGCATCCTGAGTTCCATGTGCTGGATTCATTCACTCTTGCTTCTCTTCCTGAGCCTGTCCAGGAGTGGGAACTAGAGGGAGGTGGGGACGGTGCTACTGGAAATGGGACAGAGCCGGAAGTCAGAGCTAGAGGGAGGCTGAGGGCAGGTGTGGCAGGCAGGCCATTGGGCTGATGAGACCCGTGGGATGGGAAAGGAGGGGTCAGTTGGCAGAGATGAGAAGTTCATCGGGGCTGGAGGGGCGGGTGGCTGCTGAACCGAGGGGTAGAGTGATGGAGCTGGGGTTTGGGCCTCCAGTCCGGACTCCCGATGGCCTGCTTCCGAGCTGTGGGGTGTCACAGCACAGAGGGCTGGTTAGAACAATTGCACACTCTGGAGCTCTCCCAGGGTTCCTCTTCTTCTTCTTCTTCTTCTTCTTCTTTTTTTTTTTTTAAATTTTTTTAAATTTATTTACAATAGTCATACAGAGAGAGAGAGAGGCAGAGACACAGGCAGAGGGAGAAGCAGGCTCCATGCACCGGGAGTCCAACGTGGGATTCGATCCCGGGTCTCCAGGATTGCGCCCTGGGCCAAAGGCAGGCGCCAAACCGCTGCGCCACCCAGGGATCCCCTTCTTTTTTTTTTTTTTAAGATTTATTTATTTATTCATGAGAGATACAGAGAGAGAGAGAGAGAGAGAGAGAGAGAGAGAGAGAGATTGGCAGAGACAAGCAGAGGGAGAAGCAGGCTCTTCACAGGAGCCCCACGTGGGACTGGATCCCGAATCCCGGGATCACGACCTGAGCCGAATGCAGATGCTCCACGGCTGAGCCCCCAGGTGTCCCATCTCCCGGGGCTCTGTCCAGCTCAGGATTCCATCAGGAGGGTCGAGGGGCCATCTTGGTGGGTGGGAGGCCTTGGATCGATCCTCTCCCTTAATAGAGCGTTGGTCTTTTCAGACCACTCGCTTCTGGTCTCTCAATATTCTTATTTATTGCTATTGCCCTGAGGGGTGGGGAGGGGGACTTAGATTTCTGCTACTGTCTTCTGGGCCTGGGCCTGGAGGTTTAGAAACTGACCCTGCTGTACAGATGGATGTTCAGGGACTTGCCTTTGCCCATAGTGAAGCTGAGGGGCCACCTCCCCACTTTCTTTGCTACGTGTAAGAGCCTCATCAGTGTCAAGGGCGCAACGGTTCTCTACACGAAGGAGCTCAATGGCCCGAGAAGATGTCGAGATTTCTCTCTCTGTTTGCTGTCTGTGATCACGGGTGTAAGTGTGGTATCATGTGCCTGTAATCAGTTTGCAGATGTGCATGGGAGGCTGGACAGTGCCACGGCCCTGCTCCCTGGAGGGATTTCCACGTTACATTCTGCAAAAGTGTGCTGCTAACGGCAAGCGCGTATCGTGGTTATTTTGTGGCGGGAAGTGCCTAAGTGCGTTGTCCCGTGTATGAAATCCCTAGTCCTCCCATCTGCCCTGTGAGGTAGGCGCTCACGTATCTTTCTCACTTTAGAGATATGGAAACTCACTTTAGAGATATGGAGAGGCCGAGGGAATGGCTCAAGGCCACTCAACCAAGAAGGAACAGAGCCCAGTTTTGGATCCGAGGAATCTGGCTCCAGAGACTATGTGCCTACCTCCCTGCCACCTCATCTTCTTGCCATGTGCTGTTTCCTTTCTCGGGGGTCATTTATCAGCTATGGCAGGTCTCCAAACCCCAAAAGGACTCCATTAAAAGAAAAAAAAAAGAAGCCACATCAAAGGCTTTTTGAAAGTTTAGACCCTGTTCACGTATCTGTCCTTTAAAGAATTCTCATAAATGGCTCAGGCATGAGTCTTCCCCAGCACAGCAGTGAGCGATGTTTCCTTAAGCTTTGAGTGGCTGGTGAGTCTAATTTTTTTTTTTAGTCTAATTTTTGTTATCCATCGGTTTACAGATCTGCACAGGGAAGTATTCTGGGAGGCAACGCGGGTTCGTGAAATGACCACTGGTGGTGGACACAGGGTTCAAACACCAGCCAGATGCTGAATGTTGTGGGGCTCTGGCCTGGTTCCTGAGCATCTCTGGCTTCTTCATCCGCAAGATGTATCATGGGTGAGTGTGTGTGTGTGTGTGTGTGTGTGTGGATGAGATCGTGACAGTTGTGTGCATAGATGGTGTAGAGGCCCTCAGTCTGAGCCTGCTGTGAGCCCAGGGGAAGAGGACTGTGCTGGAGACCCCAGACTAGACCTTTCTCTGCTCCATGTGACATTGGGGACCCTCCCAAGCCCTACCTTTCTGGAAAAGAGAGTTGCAGACAAGACTCAGAGTTGGCTACATTGATTTATTGGAAACACAGATCAAGACAGACATGGGCACGGCAGAGGTGGAAGGGGGAGGATTGGGGAGTGGGGTACCGCCATCAGCTCCAGGGCAGCCTCGGGCCTCCGAGCCCCCTTCCTATGGGCATCATAGGAACTTCTTTTTAGGGGTAGCCTTTCCTAGCACCAGCAACGGAGCTGAGGAAGAAGGGATCACACACAGACAAGAGGCCGGGAGTGGGACAGATCTTTCAAAGTGCCAGAGAAGTAGTCGAGGCCTTGCTCCCCCTGGACGCCGGGCGGGAGAGAGACCAGGCCCGAGGCTTGAGTTCGGGGGTCTAACATCTGCGGCAGCTGCTGGCACATGAGCCCACGCCGCAGGAGCTGATGCCGCAGGACCCCACACCTCCGGTGCCCAGGCCGCAAGACGTGATGGAGTTGCAGGGGGCGCAGGGGGCGCAGGGCGCGCAGGGGGCGCACATACCCGTGCTCACCGCCAGGTTCCCGCTGCACGGGGCGCTGCACACGCTGCCGGTCACCGGCCGGGAGCCCGACACGCAGAGGTCGCCGCAGACGACCCCACCTCGGGAGCTGCTGACACCTGTGAACCCCAAAGATTCAGCCAAAATTCTGGGGGGTGAGTCATCAGCCTCCCCGATGATGCCCCGCCCCAGGCCCTGAGCACTGGATTCAGTCAGGAGAATCTTTACGTGCAACACTAGTTCCATCTAGTTCCAAAGCTGCCGCCTTCCTTGCTCTCTGGCCCCAAACCCTTCAGCTGTGATGCCAACCCACTCTCATGCACTTGGCATCCAGGGGTAGCCCTTCCTCCAGACTGTGCCATCCCTACTAGGAACGGGGTAAATCCATCCAGCCGGGAGCTGCGGTACTCACAGACATTCACGGCCCCGACGCCTTCACATAGTCTGAGAGGGAAGAAGAAAAAGACAACATAAGTGACTCAGCGAAGGCTGCAGATGGAGCTCCCCAAAACTTGGGGTGGGGTCCACAAGTGGTAAGAGTACGAGCTCGGGGTCTGGGGTCTGAGGACAGCCCTCCGGGCCACCCCCGCCCCCACGTGATGGATGATAGGCTGTCCTAGATCCCTGGCTGTCCTAGATCTCCCAGGCTGAGCCAGGTGGAGCACGGGGTTTATTCAAGGGGCAGGAATGGGGAGCTCGAGCCAGGCTGGGTTGGGCCTCACCTGTGCTCCTCGCCCTCCAGCAGCCGCCTGTAGGTGGCGATCTCGATGTCCAGGCCCAGCTTGGAGTTCATCACCTCCTGGTACTCCTTGACCAGGCAGGCCATGTCCTGCTTGGCCTTCTGCAGGGCGGCCTCCAGCTCGGCCAGCTTGCAGCGGGCGTCGGTGAGGGCCGCCTCGCCCTGCTGCTCCGCCTGCGTCACGGCGGCCTCCAGCTTGGTGTTCTGGGGGCGCAGAGAACAGGGTGCTATGGTCCTGGGTCTCTCTCTCCATTTCCTGGATGTGTCTGGTCGCTCCCACCTACACCCCCCCCCCCAGGAAAAGGCCTCTCCCTTCATCAGCCGGGTCCCCCCAAGGGCCACAACCAGGGCCTCTAGCCAGGCACATGGGCTGGGGCATGAGTGGGGTGGTCCGTGGGGCACACGCTGCCTGGGCGGCCCTGGGGACGCTCAACGTGAGCCCTACCTGGCACTTGGCGTTCTCGACCTCGGCCGTCAGCCTCTGGATCATGCGGTTGAGCTCGTTGATCTCCTCCTTGGTGCGGCGCAGGGTCTCCCCGTGCCGGATCACCGTGGCCTTCATCTCCTCACACTGTGTGTGTAGGGGGGGCACAGGGGCTCCTGAGGCTCAGGACGGGTCATCCCGCTGAGCCCCACACCTTGCACAACTGCCACCCCAACCCGAGGGCTGCCTGCCCTTCCTCGTCCATCCCACCTGCACAAAACCCAAAGCCCTTTCAGCATCCCTCCTTCTGGGGCTCTGGCAGGGGGAGGCTGGGCCCCGACCTTGCTGCGGTACCAGGACTCGGCCTCAGCCCGGCTGCGGCTGGCGATGTCGTCGTACTGGGCCTTGATCTCGGCCACGATGCAGTCCATGTTCAGGTCCCGGCTGTTGTCCATCTTGACGATGACCGAGGTGTCTGAGATGTGGGCGTGGAGGACGCGGATCTCCTGCGGGGGGAGGATGGAAGATCTTGTTTGCACCCCAGCCTCTCCCAGCACATGTGGACCCAACCCTCCCTGGTCTCCGGCCCCTGCTCCCACTATAGCCCCATGGACTGCAGGCCTCAGCCCGACCCCAGGCCAACCAGTCCCAGGCCAGGGCCCCCTCTTCCAGGCTGGCTGCCAGGTCTCTGCCTGGACCATGGCCCCTCACCTCCTCATACAGGCGCCGCAGGAAGTCGATCTCCTCGGTCAGGGCCTCGGCGTTGGCCTCCAGGTCTGACTTGCGGAGGTAGGCGCAGTCCACATCCTGGAAACGTGGGGTGTCACTGAGCGCCGAGCACCCACAGTGGCATCGCGCCCAACTCCCCGCCATCCGAGGAGGCCAGGGCAAAGGATTCCCAGGGTCCCCGTTGCCAGCTCAGCTCCATGCCCTCTGGCCTGCCCCCCGTGGGCTTCACCGCCTCCTGCCCCTCTGACGACGAGCCCCTTGTGCCTGGAGACGGGCCACCAGCCTCTCGCCCCTCTTACGCTCCCAGCTCTCCTCCTGACCCTCCCTATTCCAACAAGCTCGGCCACCTGGGCCCTGCCGGGCCCCCGCAGTCCTCCAAGCCTGCACCCGGCCCCTCCTGGTTCTGCTCCACCGTCCCCCACACCCCGCGGCTGCTCCCCTCCCTTGGGCCACACTTCCCACAGCGCTACACAGGACACTGTCCCTCGACAGAGACACCGCACTGCTCTGCCCCCGGGGGACCCCAGCCGAGGCCACAGCTTCTGAAGCGGGCAGGACGGCAGAGGTCAGCCCAGCCGGGCCCTGCCCCAGGGCACGGTGCACGTGGGCATCCCAGGGTGGTCGCCCTGCATCAGCGACCTGAATGAGCCTCTCGAGCCCCGATCTCTGAGCTCTGCCATCCCGACTTGGCCAGGCCAGGTACCCACACGAGGTCCAGACCCTCTGGGGCCCGGCCGTCGCTCTGAGGTCCCGGGCGTCTGTGCTTCCGCACGGCTCCTTACTCACCTTCTTCAGAGCCACAAATTCATTCTCAGCTGTTGCTCTCAGAGAAACTTCCTCCTCATACCTGAGGCAGAAGAGGGCAGACAGGGAGGTCAGGGAAGGGCGGGGCTCCCCGGGGCCGCCTCCACTTCCTATCAGGGCAGGGGCAGCATTAGGGACCTTTAGGGACCTCCCAGCGGCTGGCCTCCCCGGCAGATCCGCTGGACCCTTTCTTGCTGCTTGGATGTGGAATGTGTCGGGGGTTCCCTCCCCACTTTGAATTGAGGGGTCCGGAGCGCCTACGTCCCGGGACCTCAGAGCCCACTTCCCAGAGCTGCCCAGAGGCCCCTCAGGAGGCAAACAAGGCCTGGGCGCCCAGCTCTGAGCTAGGAGTGGACAGCAGCACCCCTGGGGACCGAGGCCCCAGCCCCCCTCACCCGGGCGTCCATCCTGGCTCAGGGTCCGGGCCTGGGCCAACCGCCAACCATCAGCCCTCAGCACCCTCGGCAGCGGGACACCCAGGGCCCCGGGACCCGTCAGCCCCGAGGGACCAGAGGCTCAAGTGCAGGGAGCTCAGCATGAGAAGGCCCAAAGCCTGCAGAAGCCCCCTCTGGCCTCCCGCCGGGCCCAGGGAACAGCCTCCCAGAAGCCAGAAGGCCCAAGCAGGAGACAGATGTCTGCCGGGGGCATCCGGGTGCTCGGGCAGGCGTCTGGCAGCCGTGGCCCAGACGAGAGGACCCTGCCGCACGCTGCCCCCCGCCCGCACAGCCACTCGCCCCCTGGGACACTCTTGCCCAGTCCTGCCCAGCGGGCTCTACGCCACGTCGTTTCCTGTGCCCAGCGTCCCTGCCGGCCGCACTCACTTCTTCTTGTAGCCCTCCAGCACCTCCTGGACATGGTTGAGCTCGGAGGCCAGCCTCCCGCTGTCGGCCTCCACGCACTCGGCCTCCCGCCTCAGCGTCTCGATGTAGCCCTCGAACAGGGGCTCCAGGTTGCTCTCGCAGCACTTGCGGTTCTGGTAGAACTGCCACTTGGTCTCCAGCAGCTTGTTCTGCTGCTCCAGGAAGCGCACCTGCGTCGGGGCGGGAGGAGGGCGTCAGGTGGCTCCTGGTGCCCCAAGGCCACTTTGGGCTGGCCGCGATTGCTTTAGGGTGAACTCCCAGCAGGGATCGTGCAGAGCTGGGCAGCGGGACACAAGGTGACCTCCTGAGCTCCTGACTGTCATCCGTGTCTGCATTTTCCAATTTAGGGACGGGAGCCAGGGCTGGGAAGGCCAGTCCCCGCTCCCAGGTAAACTGACTCAGGCAGACCCGGTGAGTGCAGGGCCACGTGGTCCGGAGGCAGCCAGGGTCTCCCGTTTGCCTCTGCCTCCCTCCTTCCCCCACGTCAGTGCCCAGCCTGGGGCCTGAGCATGGGTGGGGCAGAGGAAGGGTGGGGTCGGGGACACCCACCCTTCGGGTGCCCCTGCGGTCCTCCTCCTATTCTTCTGTTGGGTCTGGCGACTACGTGCACGGACCACCCTGTGCCTCTGGCATGAGGGCTCCGAGCCCGTCCCCGTCTCTGTGTGGGGACCTGCCTGCCTGGACAGAGGTGCACGTTCGAGCCACACCATCCCACCGGGAGCCCGTGCCCCGTAGTCACGTCTTTGGTGCATCCGGGCCCAGAGCTGTGTCCGTCTGGTCCATCAGACTGGGAGCTGCCCCGGGCCCGCCCTGTCCTGCCCCTGACCCCGCAGGAACTGAAGGCCCGGGAAGGGTGCGGCCGGGGACACCCACCTTGTCGATGAAGGCGGCGAACCTGCTGTTGAGGCACTTGATCTGCTCCTTCTCCTCGTGCTTGACGCACTGCGCGTTGGGGTCGATCTCCAGGTTGAGGGGCGTCAGGAGGCTCTCGTTGACCGACACACTGGTGATGCAGGGCGGGCTGGGCCCGCACACGCCGCCCGAGCGGTAGCCGAAGCTGCGGCCGCAGGAGCCGGCCCGGAAGGCCCCGCAGACGCTGTGGCTGCCGAAGCCCCCGGTGAGGCCGCGGTAGCAGGAGACGCCGCGGTAGGGGGCGGCCGTGATGCAGCAGCGGCCGGGCCGGGGCCCGCAGGCCGAGGCGCAGCTGAAGGCGCGGCCGCAGAATCCGGATCCGCAGGTCATGGTGCTTCTGGAGGCTCGGGCGGTGGAGGACAGAGAGGAGGTCTGGAGTCTTGGGGAAACTCCAATGTGCTCTGCAAGGCGCCTCTGTCCTATTTAT